TGTTCGCTCGCTTGTTCGTTCGCTTCACGTGATATAATCTTTATCCAATAAAATATGAGATATTTATAATCCAATAAAATGTTATGACGAAAGGTCATTATACAACAATATATAACATGTCACAATGGTGACAATATAATTTTTTTTGAACTAATGAGTAACATACCTTTAATTATTTGATTTATTGAGTAAATGAATTTTTTTGATAATAGACATTGTCACGATCAGGCTCCTGATAGGTGTTATTGTGATATAAATATTCAGCCAACATCTAATGATGATATTTTTACAGTTACTCAATTTTGTCATAATTAGTATACTTCGGGATTGTCACACAGTGTATTTTCTTCTATCTCGTAGATAGACTCTCACTATTACTAATAGATATTATGTCTACTTAGTGTGGAACAGTCCTATACCAATACAATACTGATATTCTATAGCAACTTTGACAGTTGTTCAATAGTGCACAATAAATATAAGTATTTTAATAAGTTATTGTTTAATCAATTAAATATACAAATTTCATTAACAATAAACAAGGGATGATTTATTGACTAGCTAGATTTTTGTATTGATCAATTGATGTCTTTTTCAAAGCTTCAATTGCACTTTATTTATAATAAATATTTTCCACTAATAAATATTATATTTATGATTAATTATACAAGTTGATAAATAATAGATACTATGTAAATGATGATAATTGTTATAAATGTTTTAATTATTACAATTATGAAAGTTATAAAAATTATGGAAATTATGAAAATTATATAAATTTCCAGTTATAACATCATCCTATTTTGCTTTTTTATTTATATATAAACATAATAAAAAACTTCTTTATAATCATATTCTTTTTATATTTATTAAATTTTGCTTTTCCAAAAGTGAGAGATTTGATTGTAATTGATTTATTAAATTTCAAAGTTTAGAAATAAATGCTTTAGTTACTAAAAAAATAATTATAATTAATATTTAGAAATAATTGGATATATAAATATAAAACAATAATAAATTGAAAAAATAATTAATTAGTAATTAATATATTTATAGCTTGTTTGAAAAAAGAAATAATAAATTAGAAATTGACTAATTTATAATTATAAAAGATAATGTGAGAATCAAAATATTTAATGATACTAGTAAAGAAAAATTATTGGAAAAAATACACAAATCATGTTTTACATGATTTTATATAAAAATAATTATGTATGTTTACATGAAGAAATACAACCAATCAGAAATGGTTCATGTAATATAACTGATCTTTGAGAAATTCAAATTATAGTGCAGAATAACAAAAATCATCCAATACTGCGCCAAAAATGCCATTTTAATTGTAGATCTTATACATAATAATCAATTTAACCAATCAGAATTCTTTGTTCTTATTAATAAAAATCTTTAAATTATAACTTTTTAAAATAAAATAAAATAAATTCTCTTACAGAATTCCAGTTTTATCAAGAGCTATTAATCTGTAAGAGGAATTTTTTATATAATCATTAATCATTAATTATTAAATTATTAAAATTGCTGTCCTCCATTGTAATATTTTATAATTTATCGTATAACGGAGTTCAAACAACATCTACATCGTGACGTAGATAACATTCAACTAAAGAAGATCAGGCAACCATTTTCATCCAATCAGATATCGCCCAAGTTCTACACCCCAAAGTTTTTTGAATTTCGAGTCTTTACACACTTCAAAAAAATGCTCAAATCTGCCACAAAAACTTCTGCAAAAATGTCGCGAATGAACCCAAAAAATAACAATCATCATCATAATAATACTAATAATATGTACGAAAGACCCTTTTCTTCAATATATAATAATGATGGCATATCGTCTTGTAATAATCACAAAAAAATAAATAAGGGCAAGTTTAAAGTTTTCGAGATAGGATCTGTAAAAATCACGTCTGCATATGAGGAAACTCTTAAAGGTGAACGACACTTTGGTTTGGAAGAAGGAAAGACGTTCTACCCGACACACGAAGAATTTCAGAATCCGTTTGAATATTTTGAAAAAATACGGCCGGATGCGGAGGCATGGGGAATTATAAAGGTTGTTCCGCCTAAAGAGTGGAAACCTAATTTCACATTGGATACTGAGGTAAGGTTTTTAGGGAAAATACGGATAGCTTGGGGATACGTGAATCTAGATGGAATTTCGACGAAATGCTCGTTGAATAATGAGAGAATTGCATCATTAAACTTTACCAAGCTTTTTTGCTCAGACACAAGCAACTTCCTTATATGGAAAATCATTTGCCCTAGTTTTGCTCCATTTTTCGCTAATAGAAATAATAGAACACGTTTTCTGAGATGCCTAAAGGCAATAATAATATCTTAGAAAATGGTTGATTTTATATCTGCTTATATATTAAGATTTTACATGATGTTACTTATTTAATATAATATAATTATACATTCATCTCTATACTGAATGTTTACCAATCTAGGCATTTCGCTTCAAGACTCGTGTTCAGAGGGTAAATACTATGCAAGGTGAAACCCGACTTCGTCTTAATTACTTTGAACAACTCCAGAAATTCCATGCGATGTTCGGGAAATCCTTGTCTAAACTACCACATCTAGATAGAGCACCAATTGATTTATATCTGCTTGCTAAATCCGTTAGAAATCGATCGGGACCTCAAAAAGTAAATATCCTTCTTTTTAATAATGAAGTATCCTAGCGAATAAATCATTAATATTTAATTCATTAATTATCAAAAATTAATAGGTCTCACAGCTTAAACAGTGGGCTCAAGTTGCTCGAGACATAAAACCCAGCGGCTATTCCAAGAGATGCACATCGGCTTCAAAAACGCTAAAGGATTGCTTTTATGATTATATACATCCATTTGAATATTATACGCAAAATGCAAAAAATTCAAGCAAAACCAACGGATCCAATACAGATGATATGGACATAGATGATAACCAAGGCACCAACTCCCCCGTCAATCAAAATATATGTGGTGAATGTGGACAGGAAATTTATCGCGAACAATTGGCATATTTTTGCCAGGGGGATTGTGAAAAACCATTCCACAAAACATGCTTACATCTTCTTAACGAGATTACCCGTAGTGGCAACTTTTATTGTCCTGATTGTATCGTTTCTATTGGGAATGACTTCGGTTTTGGCGAAGGATCAGAGTATTCACTTGCCGAGTTTCAGAAAAAAGCGGATAATTTTAAAGCGAACTACCTACAAAAGCATCCACCAGAAGGAGAAACAAGCATTGAAGATCATATCGAAGCAGAGTTCTGGAGGCTTGCTCAATCAATAGAGGAAAATGTGGATGTTGAATATGGTGCAGATATAAATGCGATGGATTACGGAAGGTTTGTATATTGTGAACAGGGTTGTCACCTTTATAAGTCCAAAATCTGAATTTTTTGGACTTAAGTAATTCCTTAAGTCCAATGGTCCAAATGGCGCAGTTTTTATAAGTCCAATTAGTCCAATTAACAACCTTGATTGTGAAACAGTATATTTTTACATAATTAATTAAATATTAGAATGTAATTATTTTATTTTATTTTTATTAGCGCTTTTCCTGATCCTGAGTTGCATCCATTAGACCTATATTCAAAACATCCATGGAATCTAAGAAATTTGCCACGACACCACGGTTCTCTCCTTCATCTCATTCAACCCGAGATTCCTGGCATGATGGTGCCATGGCTTTATGTAGGAATGGCGTTTTCAGCTTTTTGCTGGCATGTTGAAGACCATTACACATACTCGATCAACTACATGCATTTTGGTGAGACTAAGACTTGGTATGGTATTCCGTCCTCTAGCGCTGAGCGATTTGAAGAGGTTGCACAAACATTAGTACCAGAATTTTTCGAAAAACAGCCTGACCTCTTAAATCAACTCACTACCATACTAAGTCCTAGTAAACTTGTGAAAGCGGGAGTAAAAGTTGTTGCTATTGATCAGCGACCCAATCAGTTTATTGTGACATACCCGCGCGCCTATCATGCTGGATTTAATCATGGAGTAAGTACTTTGGTCATTAAAATTCAAATGAAAAATTTTTCTCTTGGCTACCAAATTTTATAATAAATAATATAAATTTATTTATTTCAGTTTAACATGAACGAGGCAGTTAATTTTGCCTTGCCTGATTGGGTTCCTTATGGACAAGATTCTATTAATTATTATAAAACGATTGCTCGTCCTCCAGTTTTTTCGCATGAGAGACTTTTGCTTGAACATGCGTTGAGAAATTACAATAATCCGAGGATTGTTCTTTGGTAAGAATATTATATATTGAATATGAAATAGAGTATAATATGTATCTTTTTATTAACATTAAACAATATTTGATATTTCAGGCTCAAAGAACCTGTCGAAGAAATATGCAACCGCGAGATACAAATGCGACACAAAATACGGAAAGAGTTGAAATTAAAAGAGCCCGTTTATGAAATTTTTGATAGGGATGATCCGCATATTACATGTGTCGCGTGCAAACAATATTGCGCCTTATCTCAGGTGGCTTCTTATTGTAAGCCGGCAGTTGTATGTCTGGAACACGCGAAAGAGCATTATCAGGAGGTTTGTAGTTGCGGAAAAGGATGTCAATATCTCCGTATAAGATATCTGGATGAACATCTTAGCAGGTAAATATATTTAACTTTGCAATTTGTTTAAAAGATTGGAAACACATCAATAAATTTTTCAATTTTAAATAGCCTTGTGGTCGCCTTAAATCAAACTCAAAACAACACGAGAGAATGGATGGAAAATTATTGTACATATTTCAAAGAGACTGAAAATCCTAAACTTGCCGATTTACAGAAGTTATGGCGACAAGCAAAGTCTCTGCAAATGCCGATCAATTTGGATTACCTTGGAAACTTTATCGACAAGTCAATTGATTGGACAGAACGCACTCAAATGTTTAGCCAAATTATTAACGAACATTTAGTGCCATACTCGCAAAAACCACCTGAATTTAAAATTGCGGAGTTCTTACGCCGGTGGGAACGGAGAGTCAACGATTGTATCGCGGATGATGATAATGATATAGGTGATATCGATAAAATTGAGGATAATGAAAGTGATACCACAAATTCTAATAGTAATGAGATAATTAGTAACGATGTTGCTGATACCAAAATGGTTAATCTCGATGAAGAAAAAGCTACTGGCAAAAATAATAACGAAGACACTGAAGGGGACGAAGAATACATTTATGACGGAGAAGATCAAGGTGATGAAGGAAAACGATACTGCTTTTGCAGAAACATGGATGGCGAAAGTTTCATGATCTTGTGTGAACGTTGTGGAACCTGGTATCATGGAGAATGCGTAAATGCAAAGCCTGGAACAGTATCAACAAAAAAGAAGGACAAGTGGTATTGCGATATGTGTCAGCCATGGGAAGAAAGAAATATAATTGAAGAAGTACTAAAACAAGCGGAACTCGGAGAAACTATGAACCTCACCCCACCATTCTCTCGGGAATTCGCGAGGATCATGGCAAAGATCAAAAACTGGCTGGCGATTCGGGTTGCCGCCTTGTCGGGCGAATCAATATTTGACGACAAGGCAACAAAAAGAAAATTATACGGAATGGGATTGATGTGGGCAATCCCAAAGAAAACTGCCGAAAAAACGCCATCAAAGACAAACCCCTTGAAGAGGAAGAGGGGCGTGTGGAGAGAGTAAGAAGCGGGCTTTGGTGACCAAAAAAATTAATAAATGATGATAATTGCAATTGTAAATAATAATATTTATATCGATATAGTTACATTTAAATTATTTCAATGAAGTATGTGTGTGGCAATATACCAGTACATGATCAATGCATTACTATTCGTTTACTTAGTAAAACAACCAATAATGAATAAAAACAAAGTAATCTGATACAAAAACATTTAATTTTAAGTATGATTATAAATGTTTAGAAATATTTTCTAATTTTTCTTATAACTATGTTTTCTCTAATTGTTTTATATAAACGAGGACATCCTTACGCGTCACTATACCTACTAGTTTTCCTAAGGTTTCGATTATGATCGCACGGGGTCTGGGAATTTAACAAAATTAATAACTGTTTCATTACAATAAAATATTTCTTGAGAATTTCGAATAATTACCCAAGTTTTTTAAATAGATCTAGAACAATTTCTAAAGGTGTATTCGAGCTCACACTAAACGGTATCTGACGTAAGGTAACCGAGGAAAAAATAAATTTCATTTCCTTAATAATCAAAAAACAAGCAAAGGATCTGTAAATTATTTATTTTAATATACCTCTAAATATTTAGATAGATTAAGATGTTCGGAGTTTTGACTATCCCCATCGAAAAAGCAGAATGCATTGTTTGATCTACCATTCAGCTTTTTATACAAATCTAATATTATTTCGGAAAAATAACAAAAAATAAGTTGAAGAAAGTATAATGGCATGTAAAATATCTCATTTACCAATTGCATAACGTAATTCCGCGCGTCCAATATATCCCAGCAGAATCATACTCGTTTTGTCTTTGACTATTGGAAATCCTCGGTAATTTGTCTCAAGCAAGATTTGCTCTAAATGAGAAATACAGAAAAAAGAAAAGTCACAATGATTGTGATTATATCGCATCACATTAAAAAAATAGAATACCAATTTCTTCTAAGCGTTGACCCGACGTCATGATCACAAGATCTTTACGTATTACAGTTGCAACTGTATAAATTTAAAAGATTAATAAATAAAAAATTTCCTAGTCAAAATACACATTTTTTTCAAAATCTCAAAAAAAAACTTGCCAGGAATTCCAAAGGAATACTCTTTATTATCCAAAAATGGAAATCCATTTAATCTAATCATTTGATCAGCAGTATACAGTCAGTTAAGAAAAATACGCAGTATTCTGTTATTAATTTTGAATTTAATTTGTAGTATATTTAAAGGATATATTCCGCCTTTTCCCAATATGTCCCCAATAGTCTTTGTAACCATAAGAGTAATCTAAAAAAAAAAAAAAAACGAAGCAATTGATAATTGTCCTATAAAATAAATCCACAAATTTTTACCTCAATATAACTTACCATTGTGGGCAAAATATATGTCAAGGCTCCAGTTAATTCAAACATAATAACCACGACACATACTATATTATAAATAAAAAGACGAGAACAAAAAGATGTCTTTTCAAAATATTACTCGACATGTATAATAAATATAAAATATCTTACCGGTAAGATGCATAATACCACTAAAGCGATTTAAATTAAGTCAATTAGTTTTTTTTTAATAAATACTGAAAATATCTTAACTACTACTAATCAGAAATATTCAAACCTAAGTTGATTAAATTATAATTACCCCAAGGCAGCTGCAGCCCCTAAAAATGCATACATTCCTGGCGTAATACACTGGATATTCATTTGTATCAAAGGTATATACGTATTACATTTTATTTTTGATTACCATAATGAAAGAAAATCTACAAGGCATAACTAACCGGTACATCTGGTTTACAACTGGTAAATAACGGGAAATGTGGATATGCCCTTAAGTAAATAAAATAAGCAAAATTTAATATTACGCTAACATAATAGAAATTTAAATTAATGAATAAGACAATAACTTACAAATGTATAGATTTTACAATTATTCCTACGAACCGTCCAAATGTTGCTCCCACTACCATCGACGGAACAAATATTCCAGCAGGAATCTAAATTAAGAAGAATTCATTTAACAATAAGTTCTAATAACAAAATAATCACAACATTCCTTACTTTTGCTCCATACGATAAAATAATAAAGCCTGTTCGGAAAATAGTCGCTAATAGTAATAACCAAATCATTCTTGTTGTTTCAGCCTTCCTATAAAAATTATTTATATATATGCAAAGAGAATTATAGTAGTAAAATATTTTTATATTTAAAATAATTAAAAATATATAATTTTGAAATATATATATACCGACATAATCCTTCATAATCGGCAGTTCCTTCTTCACATTCTCTAAATAAAATTCCCAAAGTTTCAGTCATATCCACTTTCATAAAAATATTGAAATAACCTATATAAGCAGTAAGGCATGCCAATACAGTCGCTTCAGCTACTGCATAATCTTTTAAATATTTTTTTCGAATTGTTTGAACTTTTAAGTTGTATTTGGTGACTAATGCGCCATATAATCCCTAAGAAATTATGCATAGCAAATTCAAAAATATTAGCTTTTTATGTCATAGAAGAGTGGAGACCTAATTTTAATCTGTATAAATAGCAATTACTTACCCCGAAGACGCCTAATATAATAAAAAATAATATCTCAAAGAATTGCCATTCACGATCATAAGTAACTTGGAACATTACCAATTTTCCAGTGCGAAATGGATTCATTGCCTAATATAAGCAAAGAACATTTAATTATTTTTTTATCTGTATAATATGAAAATAAAAAATTACCTGTAATACAGCCGTTGCTACTAAAGCACAAAAGAAACTACGCCACATCGTTTTCATAGGGAAATTAGAACTCATTTCCTAGGAAAAAAATCAAATTATTATTTTTCCTTGGAAACAAAATTTCAAACAACAATTATTAGCTCTTATTATTAGCTCTTACTTCAAATGCAAATAAAACACCACCAATAGGAGAACCAAAGGCGACAGCGACGCCAGCAGCGCATGAAGCAGACAAAATTTCGCGCATTTTGGCTAAAAGAACAATCAAATAAGAGATATATTCGTATAAAGAATGTTTACATTGGTAAAAAAAACTTTACCTTTATTTCTTTTATATTTTCCAAATAATCTAGATACAACATTTCCAACACATGCAGCAGTATGTACAGATGGACCCTCTTTACCCACACTCAAACCCGACGCGATCGCTAATGGCTATATTATTGACTAAATCATTAATATCGATCTGTTATTTAAGAATTCGAAAAATAGTAAATTTGCATTGAACACTCACTAATCCAACATTTTTTAACAGTAGTGTCCATCCGCCCAAAAATCCTTTCATTACGAATCCCGCCAAAATACATTTTATTTCTGAAATACCAGATCCAGCGGCATAAGGCGCAAAAGAACGTATTAAATGAGCACAAACAGCGGCAAAAGTAGACTATTAAATAATTATTTTATAAAGATTAAAAAAAAATGGTCGCTTAATTATTAATAATTTGCTTGACATTGAAAAACATAGCATACCGCAAAAGCCATATAAAAAAACCAATTTATAATATAAAATCTCGACCAGTCTTCCCATTCCTCACAAGAACCATCTTGAGTTTTAAATTATTATTAGTGAATTATTATTAATATAATGGTTTACGAAAAATTCATATCTAACCTTCTTGTTCAATTTCCCAACAACAAAATTTTTGATTTAACCACCAAGAATTCCTGCAATAACCCAATTTTATATCAGACAGCCACTCAGTAATAATATCAGTTATTGCCGCGTTCATTCCAATAATAGCGCCTAAAATATTGAAATCATTAATAATAACCAATTTAATACCAGATTAACATAATAAAAGTTATACAAACCAACAATGAAAACGACAATCCATGCTTGGCCAGCTTCATAAGAGAGATGAAGCCACATCATCCATGAAGATCGGTTTTCGATTGCTGCAGTTCGTAGCGCATTCATTCTTGATCGTTCAAGTATAGCATCTTGAACCCAATCTAATGATTTTTATAGTGAACAATGAAAAATTAACGAAAGCTCGTTATATCATTACATATACTTTTTCGTACCTATTGTAGTAAAATCTTCATAGCGTTTAATATCTTCTAAATCTTTGTTATAATCGTCGTTAAAATCTGTGGTACGCGTTTCTAGTTGCGACGTTGCAATAGGTGACCGAGGTGGCCGAAGGGAACGGGCATCACGTGTTGGAAGTGGAGAGTGCACCAAAGGTTGGACTGAATTCCAAAAACTAATAATGTGATTTTATTACTTGACCAAAACAGCGAATGAACGAACTTTCTTCCCCAGCTCAAAAGAGTAGCTTACTCATAAATTTTGGACCAAAAATTCCCGGTTTCTTGATCTTCCTCAGAAGACATTATATACTATAGATTTTAAGTGGACGAAATACGCTGTTCATTTGTTGATCGACTATTGAAGATCTGCAAAATGATAGTTTTGGAGGATCTCCCGATTTTAAAAAAAATATGCAGACACTCTTAAAAAATGATCGTTTCGACGAATTAGAAGCTCTTCGTAAAAAACTCGACTTGTCTTTTGGGACCATTAATGAGCGAGTTGCTTCTTGGTTACCGCCTCAAAATCCCGAAGAAAGAGAACTGGAAGAACGAAATGAGAGAGAGGAAGAGGAAAGCTTTGAAAGTAGCGGTGGTGGATGGTTAGTTAGAAACAAGCAACAAGGTTTTAGCAAGTGAGTATATGTTACGTAGCATGATTAAGATGGGCTGGATATCTTTTCTCATTTATTGTTATTTTTTTAGATTAAATATTGGGATGAATTTCAGATTTAAACGTAAATTAACCCATAACGATAAACCCAGCGATTCCGAGAAAGAAGACGATAACATCAATAATACTAATGTAAAGTTTCGAAGAAAAGTTCATCACAATGTCACGGTCTATGAAGATGACGATGAACAAGATAAGGACAGTAAATTTGTTGCGATCGCTATGAAAAACAGGAATAAAACGTTAAAAGTCGGAAATTTTAAGAAAGTAGAAGAAAAACAAAAAGACGAGGTAAAGATCAATAACACGAGTGTTAGTAGTGAAAGTAGGAATAATAAATTCGGTAATAGGAAAAATATGGACGGTGATTTTCTGTCTGTTTATTTGAGTGAACGCAATAATAAAAAGAAGAAAAAGAATAACCAGCAAAAGAATGATGACAGTGAAGGTCATCATCATTCGAGTGAGAAGGGCAAACAGATTGAAAAGAATCTGAATCAGATGATGGATAAAAAAAAGGATCTTGTTGAATCGGTTAACACAACTTCCACTATCACCACTTTTATGACTACGCCACTTGATTTAAGTAAATTAAAGTGGAAGACGACAACCACCATGAACAATTCTCATTCTTCTCTTGTGAACAAAAATAAAAATAAATGAATTCTAAAAACTAATGAAATTTGAAGAAATTAATGTATTCATTATTTTCAATCATGTATTAAAATTATCATAACGATAATGTAATTTAACTGGGTTTACAGAATATTAGCATGGATGGTATCGATATACGATATAGTAGTAAGGGTGATCAGATGTCAGGCTTTATTAACCAAGTATATACATATATAGCGTACTAGCTCGAATCTGTATAATAAAGGCGTATATAGCTTATTATCTCCAATCGACACATTAGAAGTTTGGTCGATCATAGAGCAGCAGCCAATAAAAATGTGCAATTTTTTGATCAGCATCCAATAGGAAACACTAAAGCAAGATAGTGGATTAGAATGCAATCTGTATCAAAAAAAGTGCCTTTCACGTGATTATGATCCCGATGTCGACCATTCGATATTCCCTCTTAAAATCATGCATAATATTAAATAGGTTTAAGATTAAGGTTATTGTATAATAAACGTGAACATAATATATAGTAAAATTTCGCAAGAAATATTTTTTGTTAGAACACAAATGATTGTTTCAAAAGGGGGGGAACACTAAAGCGGGGTAGTGCAATCCGGATTGAGTCGATCTGGGTTGATTTGATTCAGATTTACATGTAGTGTCACATGCAAAATAAAATAAACTTTTCAAGATTATCGTTATC